CAATTTACAACCTCTGTTTGGCACTTTATGACCTCTCTTTAGGACTGTGGTCAACCATGGTTAAATGAAAATGTTGTAACTGAAACACCAGAAATGGGGGTCCTGCTATATTTTTTTTCTTGAAACATATATACCCATATATATATATAAACAGATGAGTGACGTTCAAACACAAAATTATATCATTTATAGGTAAGAAGCAAGTATATTTCATAGGAATTCTTGTGTGTAATAATTACAAGGACTCCTTTATGACAACATGGAAAAAGTTAGCTTGTGTACCAAATTACTATTCCAAGTAAGACCAAATTCCAATTTGAACAAGGCTACTTCTAGTCATCTGCTACTGAACTGATTTTCATTCATATTAGTTTAACTCACACAGTGCAATTTCCCATTATTGTTATATTGTTTGTTTATAATGCAAGTGCATCATGTAGAATTGTTAAGTGCTAATGAGCTATTGTACTGGCTCATTCAGACATTGAGCATGAATGAGAAAACAGACTAATAACAGTTTACTGTAGCTGTTCCTTGATCAAAAAGTTTTCAGTTGTGCATGAGCATTTGGCAAACTGATTATAAGCCTAAGAAATGTTTTTTCAGCTTTAGCATTATGAGCCAGTGCATCCAGAGTCTTGAGCAAGAAATGTTTGTTGGCTACATGGGATGCATAATTATATTTGTACCAACATTGCCAGGCAGAAACAGAACAGTATCTGAAAGGTATGGAATCTTTCCATTGAAATTTTTCACTGACCAGTATCTCTCTTGGCTGGCCAGATTCCTTCAAAATGGCATTACTTAGCATATTAATATTTCTGGATTTTCACTTTTTAGGGTTAGTGTTAGGGTTAATGAAAATCTTCATTTTCATTATAAAATTGAATTCACTGACTGATAAGGAAGCATCAACAATATTGCAAACGGTAGCAGGGGGACCTCTTTTTCCCCACCAGATGTCACTATGGAGTCAGAATTTTAGTGGCTAGGCACCCATTTGTCTCTGCACTGTCTTGCCTACCTGTTTTGAATTCAACTTGATTAAATATCTGCAATACAAAGAAGGGAAACCAAACAAAAATGTCAGTCTTGTGATTAGCATTTCTAGTTACACTGAGAACTCAGGTGGCAAAAGACACCTGCTGCTGTAGTAGGTAGCTTAGAAGATAGAAATACACATAGAGAGAACTGTGTGCTCCTCACAAAATCTCTCTCTCTCTCAACTAGTCTCTGGAGAGGCTGCAGTCAGCAGTCTTGACACTTTGCTGATAGCAAAGAACAGATTCACGACTGAGTTATACATCTGCTCCTCTGCTTCTGGTGTCATACGGAAAGGTGTTTGTACAGGAAGTACAGTTACATTATTTATTATCTCACTGCTGGGGTGATATGATATGTGAGTTACACCTTGGAAATTACATGGCAAGTGTGAAAAATAGACACATGTAGCACTTAAGTATCTGCTGTTTAATGTATAGCCAGTCTCCCAGTAGCCTTGACCTTCAGATTCTTAGATTCAGCTCAGTTAAGGAAAAAAAGCATCCAATAACTTAATTCTTATTCTTTGGGTTATGTTGAGCCACTCTGCAAGTAAGCTAGCATGGGTTGTTCGATGGACAATACTCCTGATAAATGTTTGGATTTGCTATGGCTTATTCTCCCCACATTGTGCTTTAGTCTTTTAGCTGGCTTTGGCACATATCCTAGGATCCATTGCACTATCCTTGTCCTGGTCTCCTTCTGGCTTCCGTCACTATCCTTCTTCAGAGCACTTCCTTAATCTGCTATCTTTTAAAAAAAGAACATAAATGTATTAATTCCATCATGTCTCTCAAGTACACAAGAGCACAGAATCAATTGTTCCATTTGTGCATTTTTGTCAAATGTCTTGTATGTTTCAGCTGTCAAACAGCATTGAAAGGCGGGTGGGGGATAAAATAAGTCCTAAAGAGGGATGGACAAGATCTCCTGCTTAGCAATGTAATTGTTTTGCTCTCAAATGCTGAACTGACACTTGTCATTGTCTTCTCCCTTCTGAGTCTCCAGCAAGCCCAGAAAGGAAAGTTATTGGCCTTTCCATCTTTACTCAGTTACTTTTCAGAGTTGTGCAAATTCTCTTCCCCCATTTGCTTCTTATGCAAATATAGAAGCCAGGAAATAAATGGATGGGAAGTTTGTACAAATTTAGAGTCTGGGCATAAATAGAAAAGAAATATGTGTCACGTATGTATCTGCTCCAAGACGCGATCATGAAATGGAGCGAGCAAACAACTCCCTTACTAAAGACTTTGAGAACTGTTGGAAGGGAAGAGGACGCTGACAGGTGTCCATTCAACACTTAAACATGAGAATATTATATTGCCAAATGGCAGATATTCTTGTCTTTGGCTGCCCTACTTTGGTACACTTCTTTTGTATTTTTCTTTTGTTTGGTGCTTGCTGACAGATGAACATGCATAGCTAGGGAAGACCATGCATCAGACAGTTAGATCTATAGCCTTGCAAAAACTGGATGGGTAAAAAGACCCTCATCTCTTTACTCCCAAAATAGCAAATTATTTTTAAAAAGCAATGGCAAATTAGTGATAGTCCTTCCATGGTGCCATTTGAGAATTAGTGGAGTTGTGGTCACCGACAACGGAAGCTGTAGACTGCATGAACCAGATTGCAAAGTTTTTGCTGCTCTAACCAGGAAACTCTCTAGCTGTTCCCAGCAACCCATCATAAAAATTACCTTGTTGGGTTTGGACAACATGACAAGCTACCATGAGTACCAATAATCCTGAAACAAACCATGGTTTCTCAGGGTGACTGAAAAAGAAGGCATCCAGCAGAAACTCTGTCAGATCTGGACGAAAACAACTCACTGCAGCTGAGTATTTTTGATACACTTTGGCATCTTGCTAACCAGATCTTAGTCCTTGATATCATTTGGTTATGTTGTAGGTAATTCCTGCTTTGCATGTCCCCCTCTCCAAAGTCTCTCAAGACAGTGTCAAACTCCAAATTCCATGTCTGTGTCTACTCAACACAGATTGGTTTTGGCTTCTGTTTTTTGGTCAGTAACGTCATGGAGATGGCATGCCTGCAAATATTGGAATCAAGCAGGTCTTGGTTTTACAAATGCCAGTGCTAGTACATCATTGCAGGAAGTTGAATAATTACAAACAATACGATGTTGCTCATTTTGCTGAATACTTGATGTTCATAGTTGACTTCAGGCTCATTAAGTGGCAGGTTGGGTTTGAGATACAATTGGCTACTGTTGCTTTGTCCCTCTTAAGCTCCTGGCAGTCATGACTTATTTGTGTTTCTTCCGAGGGAACAAGAAATGGAAGGTGCAAAGGTAGTTTTTTTTTTAATTGCCTGTCAGAATAGTCCTCAAATCCTCTCTAGCCTGGGCTTTGCTGGCTGGCTGTGGTTTATCAGATTTGTTGTCCAAAACAGCTGGCAGGCACCAGATTGGAGAAGGCTGCTCTTGGCCAAGTAATTTGCAAAGAAAAGGAAGTGCCATATACTTCCTGTTTGATAGATTGAAAACAAAGGCAGGAGCCATTTATTTTTCCTCTCCTGTGCAAAGTGTTTGTCTGGGAAATTAATGTGGCATTACTTCTGGGATGTAGCTGTGCTTTCTGAGAGAAGGGGCCTGGGAATGTGCATCATTTCCCATGAGTATTCATTGGGGTATGTTGCTCTTTCACCAAGTGTCAGTAGAACTAGTTGCACACCTGAAATTATTGTGGCAATATCTCTTTGTAGAGTTAAGAATCTGTGCCTGAAATACATTTTCCCTCTGCAGCTATTTCATTTATGCAATTTAATAAATGGAGTGTACAGAGTTAGAATACCAGGGTGGAACAAAACTGATTTTGAAAATTAAACTGATTCTGCTGTGGGAACACATTTTGCAAAGTCAGTTCCTTATTCTCACTAAGGAAATATGCCAGATAAAATCTTTGAGTAGCTTTTATAAAATTGATGGATGTGATATTTAAATTCAGCCAGCTTTTCTTTTTCATAATAATGCAGAGCTACACAGTTGAGTTTTGTTTTTTCATAAACATAGCAGTCTATTTGCTACTAACAACAACAACAACAAAGAAAGAGTACATTATTCAGAAGAGTAAAAATAATGGGATTATGTAATTACATGGCATTATGTTCATCTGTTGTCTTATAAACAGAAAATATATTAATAGTTCAGTGGTTGAATCATATTTGCTCCTTTAAAGCTGTTGAGTGCAGCCTGATTTGATGCACTTTCATTCAGAAACAGATCTGATTAAGTGCAATAACCTTACTCCCCATTAAGTCACAAGGTACCTATTTTTAAGATTTTAAAATTAATAGGCAAGTAGTGCTTGATTACTTTTCTACGAGGGTTGAAATACTACTTGTGTTCAAAAATAGCTAATTTTAAAATTAACCATCATGCTCATTGTTTTCATAAGCATATTCTTCCATATCTGGTCATATGTTTTTTGTTATCTGTGCTGAACATATGAAGCAACTACCAAGTTTACTTCATGGTTTCTTATTTTTAAAGACAACTTTTAAAGTCAGTTGGCTGGATTCCAATGTCTATAAGTAATTCTGAACACCACAGTGTTCAATAGCCAAACAACAGAGCAAGCTTTTTCCTTGCCAACAGCCCTTCCAAAATGCAGAAATGGTGTCATGAGTTGTTCTGTCTGCATTTGAAATGCTGTTTTGTCCCCAGAGGTGATGAATTATATAGATGCTGAAGACAGCTTGATGTTGACTTAAACTGAATGCACACTCATTGAAGTCAATAAGATCACACGAGGTAGAAATCATTTCAGATTTTTGATCCATTATGTTGCCCCAGTTTGTTCAACTATATATATATAGGTAAGCAGTACCAGCCTTTAGTTAATTGACTGAAAGAATGTGCTATGTAAGATTTTTCGATTTTTATCAATGTGACAGTATACAGAAACATTTTACTATTCACCCTTGTTTTTTAATCATGCCAGAGTCAACCTGTTTGGGACCTGGACATTATGGGTTCCAGAATTGGAGACTCCCGAAGCCAGAAACTATTAAAGGATTCATTGGCTGCTAAGGAACTTCAAACCATGGAAAAACACCTTGCTGGTAAGTATCATGGCATAAGAGCCCACCATTTGCTAAAAGATAAAGGAATATGATAAGAAGCATTTACTAAAAATTTACCTTTGCAGTACTTCATCAATATAATAAGAATATTCATTTTAAAACAAATATGGAAGCTATACAATGTATGGTAATCAGATATATCTGGACAACTTCCATAACTCTAACATTTAAGTGTCTGAACTGTTATTGCTGTTAGCCAGAACTGCATAAATCTTTCCAAATTACTCCAGAAAATCCAGTGTTTGAATGAAATACTATTCTATCCATTTTTATATCAGCATTCTGAAGAGTAATCTTTAGCTGCTTAATCTTGGTGTAATTAGCTAGGCAAAATTGTCACCATGGAAGGGCCATGAAAGAATTCAACCCAAATTGTCATTGAAAGACAGTAGTTTTTTGTTTTGCCTTAAGTTTACTTGATACAAAGTTTCAGAAGAGAATTGTTCATAATTCCATGTCCTTAGTTTCAACAACATAAAACTGCTAAACATGAATTTAGGGATGCTTCTTGTATGGGGCGAAAACATGTTGAAATAAATATTCTCCTTATTAGAAGTAGTTGGAGAATGTAGTTAAGTATTTTATTTAAATTATTCTTGGGATGTTTTTAAGGGTAGTTCCTGTTTGTGAACTTGCTAAGATTATTGCTGTAAACAAAACCCCAGTATATTCAAACATGCAAGTTCATACATTCTGACCAGGATTCCTATCTTGTTCTGTAGCAAGAAAATACACAAAAATCTACATTACCAGTTATATTAGCTGTAGCACTGTCAGAGCTTGTAGAACATATATGCTTCCTTGTCAATGCTGGTGATACTTTAATTGCGATGCTACTTGTGTAGCCAACCACACATTTGTGATCACTGTAATTCAAACTTGACTAGTCATAGCAGCCCATATGCCAGATGTCCCAACATTTTTGGAACACTGAGCACATCTGGAAGAAAAACAGCTGTGGGTGCCACCACAAAATTGCTCCTGTGGGTCTAGAAAATAACTCTTGCCTTTCTTCATGCCCTTTCAACAGCAGATCAGTTGCAGGTTGAGACACAGGAAGAAGAATCACACACCCTAAATGTTTTCAAAATTTTTAAAATTAAAAATTCCCTGAAGAGGCAGGGAATGGAGTACATTGCAGGTGCTATTGAAGGTCCCTGAGGTGCCACACTGGGGCCTCCTGTCCTATGCCGCTTAGACTAATCTTTGTATCAAGGAAGAAAGGCAATATGTATTTCTACAATACTAATTTAGTCAGCTTGAAGGGGAGTACCATCCAAGTCCAGTTTTTAAGCTCTAAGCATTTTTCACCTGGTTCTTGGGAAATAAAATGCATGTTATCATTCATTTTCTCCCTTCCAAAATACAAATGAGATAGTGATAATCTTGTATTTCAAGTACTAATATTTCTTTTCTTTTTCCTTACTCAAATTGAGCCATGTCACACTGATACATGATTTTTTCTATTAATTTCTAAGCTTTCTATTGATTTCTATGGCACCCAATAGCTGAAGCTCTCTGAGCAATTCACAACAATGTGTTAAAGTACAATAAATTTATCAGAACTGGTTAATTAACTGAAGCATTAACTGACATGTTTTGATACATTTGTGTGTGTGCACTCGCACACTTGTGGCAGAAGGACTCAACCTGTTGTAATGGATGCTAGACTGGGTGCCTTTCCTGAGGAGGAAACTACTGAGCTTGCCGGGATAGGTCTGGGTCCATTCAGCTTCCTCTTAAGTAAAAGCACATTTGAGGTAGGCAAGCCTGGCTACCATCATTGCAAATTTGTTAGGTTTCTTGTTCATGACTTTCTAGACCCACTCAGTTTTCTTTTCACCCAACCTCAGTGCTGGCAATATAACATCAGAAAGCAGTGTGGACATGTTGGATCAGACCAATTGTGCATAAAATCCAGCATACTGGAATGGATGCCAACCAGCTGCCCATGGGAATCCATAAGCTGCCCATATTCCATAAGTGCAACAACCCCACCAAAATTCTGTAGCAACTGGCATAAAATATCCAGAAAGTATCCCTGCAAACTCCCAATTTCTTATATATGGACCTGCTTCATATTGCTCGAGTTAGTAAGATTGCGACTTTATCATGCTGGTTGCATTTATTTCCATTCAAATAGCACTAATTGATTTTTTCTTAAAATAATACATGTGCCAAGTTTTTCTTCAGGTGAAAAGTGTTAGAATGTTTTTTGATTTTTTAAAAATTGAGAACAATTGATGTTCTATATTAATTGGAACATACATTTGTTGTTAAATAAATGTAAATAAATTTGTAGTGGAAAATCTTTAAATTAGCTGTGGAGAAGTGATTTAAATGCTTTGTTTATCAGTGAAACCAATCCGTTTTTTTTCAGATAACTGAATGTAGGGCAAAATTATGATGCTTATAAAAATCTTATTGAGATATAAATATTACCTATAAGCTTTACTGAAGCTTTATTCACTGAAGATAAGTCAATGAACCCAGTCATTAAAACAAAAACAAAAACAGTTAATTTAATTGCAAGAGAATTCATTCCACATTTGGTTTAAGTTATGGCATCTTTACAGTTATCTATTAATCCAAGGGATTTAAACAGGTATTTTACACATTCCAAAGTGATGTGTATTGATTTAAAAAAAACTTAATGCAAGAAAAGTCATTATAACATTAAACTGAAAGTATCTTGTTTAATGATGTCATTCTTTCAATTAGATTATTTTTAATGTTAAAGAAACCATTCCCCCATTTCTATGTTTTATTAAATCAGTGACATTCACTTAGTCAGTGTGCAGTAATCACTATTAGAGGACTTTCTGATAACAAAATATTGGCTAGCTCAGAAATTAAGTCCTCTGAAATTTTGCTAAATATGTACATTCATCACACTGTTCAACAGTAACATTTAAATGTTGAACATCTTGCTCTAATATACATTGCTCAGCAGTCCCTTGAAATAAGGCTGACTATATTAAATGACAATAGCCTCTATTACTTCATCTGGAATCAGGAGTTCACCATAAATAGTGAACAGTGTATTCACCTTTCTGCCCTTTATGAACAATCATAGAACTATGAAGGACTAGAAAATAATCTAGCCTCTCCTGCTGCCTCAAGAGGACCCATCCACTTCTTTTCCAGAGATCAGAACTTTGGATCAAAGATACAGAGCCATTGTGCTTCCAGAAGGATAATTCCAGATCACGTACACAAGTAATCCAAGTTGCATGGTGACATTGAACTGTGAGATGTCTTTAAACCAGGGGTCTCAAACTCGCGGCCTGCGGGCCAATTGCCGGGACGGGTGGGCACGGGGGAGGGGCCCTGCGGCCTTCAAAGTGCCAGTGGCACCCGGGTCGGCCTCCGGGAGTGACGTGGGATGAGCGGCCCACCACCACCGCAGTGGTGGAATACTTGATACAGCCCTGCCTCACCCAGACTCTACTTCCGGCAGCTCCCAGGTAAGTTGAGTTTGAGACCCCTGCTTTAAACAATGCATTCTACACTGCTAAACCTCAGATTTGGTTTAAGTTTATAGGAAGCTATAGTTTTTGCTTTTCATTAACAGTGATATAGAAGCCCCTTTAGAAGAAATCAGCCCCGTTTTCTGATTGGTCTTTAGTCATTATCTCATTCAGGCTGTTACTATGGGGTGGACCACTGTTACTATTTAAACATGCCCATATAATGTAGGTGATGCCACAGAGAGCCAGCATGGCATTAGCAGCTAGCTCTCACCATGGTTATTGGGTACCTTCGGCCTTTTCTATCTTTGTCACTATACCATGTACAATTGTTATCTAGGTTCTGTTGAAGAAAAATGCTAATACATTTACATTAATATTAGCTATTACTTTTCACTGATCTTGCACCTGTTAGACCTCATCCGGAGGAATGTATCCAGATTTGGGCATCACGGTTTAAGAAAGATGCAGACAAAGGTTCAGGGGAGGAAAGCTTACAGGGGAAGGCAGTTTACAACAAAGGGCAACAAGGATGATCCAGGGACTGGAAATGAAGCCCTGTAACGAGAGACTGAAAGAACTGGGCATGTTTAGCCTTGAGAAGGGAAGACTTGAGTGAAGATATGATAGTACTTGATGTCACAAAGAAGAAGGCCAGAATTGCTTCTCGGTCATCCCAGAGTGCAGAAACATAGAAACATAGAAAACAGAGCGAGTCAGAAGGGGTCTCTCGGGCCATCTAGTCTGACCTCCGGCACCAGTCGGCTCCGCTCACGACATGCCCACCATGTGGACGTCCAGCCTATCCTTGAACACCCGCACCGATGGGGCCACAACCACCTCCCAGGGAAGCCCATTCCACACCCTCGGGGTCCTGACTGTCAGGAAGTGCTTCCTGGCATCCAAATGGAACATTGGTTCCCTGAGCTTTGCTCTGTTGGAGCACGTTCTGCCTTCCTCTGCAGGGGAGAACAGGTCTCTACCCATCTCCATGTGACATCCCCTCACATACCTGTATGTCGCCAACATATCCCCTCTGAGTCTCCTCTTCTCCAGGCTGAAGAGACCCAGTTCCCTCAGTCTCGCCTCATACCCCATCCCCTGCAAACCGGCCACCAACCTTGTGGCCCTACGCTGCACTGACTCCAACCTGGCTATATCCTTTCTGTAATGAGGGGCCCAAAACTGAACACAATACTCCAGTTGCGGGCACACTGGAGTTATGTAGAGTGGTAGTAATATCTCTCTTGATCTAGAAGCCACACTTCTGGCTATGCAACCAAGGTGGCGTTTGCCCTCTTGACCACCGCATCACACTGCTGACTCATGTTTAGCCTGCGGTTAACCAGTACCCCGAGGTCCCTTTCACAAGTGCTGCTCTCCAGCCACTTATCACCTAACCTGTACTTATGACACCTATTCCTATGCCCCAAGTGCAAGACCTTGCACTTATCCACATTGAACGCCATGCTGTTTTCTCCTGCCCACTTCCATAGTCTGTCCAGATCCTTTTGGATCCGGAGTACCTGCTCCTCAGTTGTGGCCACTGTTCCAGTTTTAGTGTCGTCTGCGAATTTGATAAGCAGACTGTTCACCCCTTCTTCCTTGTCATTAATGAAAAGATTTAACAGGATCAGCCCCAGGACAGAGCCCTGGGGGACCCCGCTTGTCACTGGCCACCATCCCGATGATTCCCCACTAATGGTTACCTTCTGCTTTTGATCAGTCAACCATGCCCTAATCCACCGGACAGTGCTTTGGTGTATCCCAGAACTCCTCAGTTTCTCCACCAGGATATCATGGGGCACTTTGTCGAAGGCCTTGCTGAAATCCAGGTATACCACATCCACTGCATCCCCTCCATCTAGCCATCTCGAAACCTTGTCATAGAATTCCACAAGGTTTGTCTGGCAGGACCTGTTTTTGCAGAAGTCGTGTTGTGGGGCTGTCAGCCTCCCTTCCCTATCTAGCATCACTAGATCTCTCTCCATTATGAGCCTTTCCATTGTTTTTCCTACAGTGGACGTAGGAAAATTGACCCTTTTTGAAAATTGGGACCACTGATGCCATCCTCCAGTACTCTGGAACTGCACCCATTCTCCACAGGGTCTCAAAATTGGAGGCCAGCGGGTGTGAGAGAATACCTGCCAACTCTCTAAGTACTCTCAGGTGTAATCCGTCAGGGCCTGGCGTCTTTGTAATGTCCAATGCCCTAAGGAGCCCCTCGACTTCAAGGGGGGTGACTCTTATCAGTGCCCCTACGTCCACAGGCTCATCTAATCTCCTATCTGGATATCCCCCGTCCTGCTTTGGGGAGAACACAGAGGCAAAATAGTCATTTAGCATCTGTGCCTGTTCCCTCATATCAGTCACTGGATCTCCTTCCTCCTTATTTAGTGGTCCCACCACTCGTCTCCCCTTCCTCTTCCTATTTGCATGCTGAAAGAAGCCCTTTTTATTGCTCTTGATATTCTTGGCAAGTCTCAGCTCGTAATCAGCCTTAGCCTTGCGAAGAATCCTTCTGCAACGGGCCTCCTCCTCCCGGTATACACTTTTGTCTATTTCCCCCAGTACCCATGCAGGACATGGAATAACAGGCTCAAGTCACAGGAAGCAAGCTTCTTCCATCTTCACCCCCAAATTGGATTTTATTTTCCTTCCATGCATCTCCATTAGAGTACAACATGTGCATTCTTTTTTTGCAGACTTGCAATTTAGTCATTCTTCCTCACATTCTTTAAATCTGCTTTCATATTATTTTCTGCATTCTTGAAATGCACATTCATGCTCATTATTGTCCATTCAAACATATAATTGTCAACATTGTCCCATTAATTTATTAGATATGCTAGGCATGAATTTCACACACTGTCCTAGTATCTTCTTTGCAATGACTACTTGAACTGGAGAATGATCCAGCTACCCAAGTGTACACAGATTCAAGACTCTAGAAATTCACTGTACTGAAGCTGGTTACTCAAACTTAACTGTAGCTACAAACACTTGCAGTCATGGCTGTTATATTTTAGTATCCTCCCTGATTTTATGAGCAGCTGTAACAAATATTATTTTTTTTTTATTTATTATATTATTTATTTATTTAAAACATTTGTATCCTGTCCTATATATAAAAGTGTTAGAACGGTCCAACAACAAAGGTACAGCATCACATCAATAATAAAAACCCAACTAAAATAAACATTAAGTCTTAAAATAATGGGAAAATAAAAAGGGTTGGGGGAATTTCTTCAAGTACTAGGTGAGGTCTGAGGATAAACGTGCTTTGATCAGATGTGTACTCTTTCTGTTCACCAAACATGAATTTGGTTCAGACCCTAAAAGGCTCAAAATCTTCACTTATGCTCAGGAACCTTCCACACAAAGGTGAACACAAATACAAACACTGAGCAAGTTTTCAAATGGTTTTCTTTACTGCTTTATATCTTATTTTTGGCTGATTTTCTAGGGATATTACTGGCCAGATGTTATGCACATGCATTCTAGCAAACCTCAGGTGTGCTCATGGGAGGCTACCCATTTTGGCAGGGCTGACAGTTCAGAATTTGAAGATGAGATGTGTGCAGGGCAGGCTGTCTATTCTGGAAGCTCTGATAGCTCAGACTCCGATAACAAGATGATGAAATGGTACCAGTCGCAGCTGCAGTTCTGGGCCCCGTGTACATGCCTGTGCCTGCTTTGGGGAAGATTAGTTCAAGGACAGCCAAGCGGGCCAGCCAACATGCCTGTGGGAATGGGGAAGAGCAACAACATCTTGGAAAAAAAGAGATTTAGAGATGGGGAGTCTATCAGCTGCCTCCTAAGGAGGTAGACCCAATAGTTCATCATGATAGAGTGGCTCAGTTGGGGTTGTTGATGGAGGAGTGCAGGTGTGTCTGGTTCCATATATATATATATATATATATATATATATATATATATACACACACACACATACACACACACACACACAACACACACTCTCTCTCTCTCTTTCTCCCCCCACCCACCCCTTTTCTCTCCCTGGCTTAATTAATATATCTGGCCTTGGTGGGGGTTTTTTTAAAGTCTAGTTTTAATTGCTTTAATTTGTTGTTTTTAGCTACTTTAGTTTGGGGAGGTGGGGGGGGAGAGAGAGAGGAGAGTGAAAGGAAAACCTTGTACACTTTCAATCAAATGCCACATTTTTGGTAAGAGATCCACACTTGCTGCCTGCATTCTCTACCAATCTATTACAATTGCAATACTTCTGATTTGGTATGCATGATGCATGCTTCAACCCCAAATTTCCCCTGGGAGATGCAATGTATTTTGCTGGAGTCTAACATACGTTTTTGTAAAATCCAGGGTGTAGGCAGTAGGAAGCTAAACAGTGGTACCAGGATCCAGATAAAGTAAAGTCCAATCAGCAGTCAAATTCAAGTCATTATCCAGAACAAGCCAAGGTCAAACCAGGAGCAAACAGGGAAGCAAACAAAGGATAGTCCTTTGCATTACCATGTTGTTGTTAGTCACGAAGTCGTGTCCGACCCATTGTGACCCCATGGACAACATTCCTCCAGGCCTTCCTGTCCTCCACCATCCCACGGAGTCCACTTAAGCTCACACCAGCTGCTTCAGTGACTCCATCTAGCCACCTCACCCTCTGCCGTCCCCTTTTTCTTTTGCCACCTATTGTTCCCAACATTAGGCTCTTCTCCTGTGAGTCTTTCCTTCACATTAGGTGGCCAAAGTATTTGAGTTTCATCTTCAGGATCTGGCCTTCTAAAGAGCAGTCAGGGTTGATCTCCTCTAGGACTGACTGGTTTGATCGCCTTGTGGTCCAAGGGACTCGCAGGAGTCTCCTCCAGCACCACAATTCAAAGGCCTCAATCCTTTGGTGCTCAGCCTTCCTTATGGTTCAGCTTTCACAGCCATACATAGCAACTGGGAAAACCATAGCCTTGACTATATGCACTTTTGTTGGCAGGGTATGTCTCTGCTTTTTAGTATGCTGTCTAGATTTGCCATAGCTTTCTTCCCAAGGAGCAAGCGTCTTTTAATTTCTTGGCTGCAGTCCCCATCTGCAGTGATCTTGGAGCCCAGGAAAATAAAATCTATCACTACCTCCATTTCTTCCCCATCTATTTGTCAGGAAGTGAGAGGACCGGATGCCATGATCTTAGTTTTCTTAATGTTGAGTTTCAAGCCAACTTTTGCACTCTCTTCCTTCACCCGCATCAAGAGGCTCTTTAGTTGCTCTTCACTTTCTGCATTACCATAATTATCAATAAAGCTACTAGAAGCTAAATCCAGTGTCAGCTTCTGTCTTTGAAGGGTAAAAAGTAAAGATGGTTGTGACAGCTACAGAGGATGGCGAAGTGGATGGAAGATAGAAGATAGAAGTCTCTTATCTTGTCTAGGATTCATGCAAAAGGAACTAAAGGATTTATTAACAAAGGGGTCAAACTGTATCCTTACCAATCTGCTTGAGGAAAGAGTGAAAGGAAGTTTGAACAAAGTGTTGACAAGATAATATCTCAAACTGAGATTCTAGGAACTGCATAGTTTAACAAGATTCACATCACCTACAACATGTAGCCTAGTTGCTTTAACAGGATTCTGGGAAAATCTTGATCCTTACCTTTTGAGGGCAATTTGGATTTTCAAAGATCTTGAAACAGTATTGAAAGTTAAAATGCCTCTCTGATGAGGTTATTCCAGATTGAACACAGATAGATATTCACCCACCCTTTGAATGCTGATGTATGTTGATTCTCAGGGTGGCAATGTTATAAATATTCAAGAAAACTGATATTGCAATGCATAATGGTTAAAAAAATTGGCTTAAGAGAGCATGTATTGAACTGTGATCTCATCCCATGTCAGATTTTTTAGATCTCATCAAAATATGAGAAGTGTACTGATACATAATTCCTTGCATACAAAATGTTTGTGAGAAATGTCTCTGAGATAATGATGTGCCAGAAGCCATTTAGTAAGTTCTGGATGACAGAAATCTAAGTTTTCAGAGTGGTGCAGCAACTGGTAAACTATATTCTTGCTTAAGAATGTGTGTGACTATAGATATATGGATACATTTACATAAGCGAAACAGAAAGACACATGTGTCCTTGCTTTGCTGTCTCCCACTCCCATTATATCAATTTATTTTTCTGTCTGTGCAGACATTGCAAAGGACCTAGCATTGTGGGAAGAAGGAAGACTATCAAGAAATACCAGTAGCCCACAAGCTAATTTAGTTGCATTAGATCATCAAGGAAATTTTAAAATTGCATCAAGCCAGGATCCAGGACCACTATTGCCCGTTCAGACTGGGAAAGATATTCAACTCCAGCTTCAAAGAAAAAAATCACCATCATTATCCAGTAACAATACACTGCAGCTCTCCAGTGTCACAAATGGTAGGCCTCAGTCTCCCAGTACACAGACCAACAGATCTTCTGTGCTGCCAACTCAGGCAAATAGGTCCACAACCCCAAATACTTTGTTACAAAGACCAATTTCCCCTAGCAACCAAGGAAATAAGGAAGGACTCATTAGCATGCAAAGGAGCCGGTCTTTAATATCAAAAAACCAACTTGGGAGGACTGTCACCACTCCTGCAGGGCTACTTGAAACCAGTGGAGATGTCACTCTAGGAAATGTCACTCAAAGAAGTAGTTTGTCTGAAGTAAGTTTTTTTTTAACTCTATCATCCTATAAAGCTGTGATATTATGTACATCCCTGTTGATGCATTAGTTTTAGAATTCTGCTTATATAGAATAAGATTAATTAAACATTACTAGGTATAAGATTCTGTGAATTAGCACATATCATATTAGCATATATCTTAACTTAGTTTTTGATGGAAGTTTCTGAAATACAGAATGAGTTTGTTGTAGTGCTCTTGAGTTGCTTTCAAGGTATTACAAATATTTATTTTATTTTATTTATTTAAAACATTTCTATGCCGCCCCAATTGCAACAAAGCCTAGGGGCGGCTCACAAAAAAAAAAAAAAAAGAAAGAAAAAAAAAAAAAGAAACACACACACACACACACACACACACACATTCCCCATGTTTCACTTTCAAGTGTTAGAATGTTTGCTGTCAAAAGAGAAGACTTTGATTTCATTAGCATGTATTAACAATGCAGTTCTGTCAGTTGCATATATATTACTATTCATGTTGAAAGTAATTAAGAATCAAAAACTAAATACCATTCAGAAAGCTGAAGGAAAGATTTATAATTCATGGTAGAAAGTAAATTGGAGGGTAGAGTCATATGTCTGCTTTTTGCTTACCATCATTTCTGAACAGAATTGTGTTTTATGCAGTCTAACATGTCATCATAACAAGAGTAGTAGCCAAGTCGATTGTGTTGCAGTGATCTCCCAGATTTTTGTGGCACCTTAAGGTGAACTAAGAACACAGATATCAATGTAAAGTTGCTGAAGTGCAATTCATCAAGAATGTCATGCTCCTGTCTGGTTGGTTGGTTGAATTTGTGTTCCTCCCAATAGCTGGATCTTGTGGCTTGAATATGGATTAAGGTTTTAGGTTGTTGTTTTTTTTAAACTCACTGCATTTGTTAATTCATTCACCATTCTATTAATATTTGTGTTATTACTCTAAATTTTTTGTAAATGGCAATCATTGAAGTAATCTTTGCTGTCTATATTCTTTGCATTTCAGTTCTCTTTAGCAGCTCAGTTTACTTTCTTTTTTCACTACCATCACCTCTTCCTCATTGTAGGAAAGATAACCTGAGCAATCTGTAGTTTTATTGTAATTTAATTAACAATTCTATTCCAAAAGTATGTTTAAAATTTATTTGGTGCTGTGCTGAAAAATATGAACAATGAAATTTTGTGTTTTTGCTGATCAGATTGGGAGCCTGTAACACAGTCTTCCTGGGCCCATTTCTAATAATTGAAATTCTTTAAAGCTCTTCCTTTCTGTATGGGTGAGACTTTATTATTAACCAGTGTTTTTTAAAAGCAGGCATAAAGTGTATTTTGGAGAATTTGGCAAAGATTAATATGCAAGCTGTGAAGTCCTTTTTGTAAGAAGTCCAAGATTTTAGTTTTGCAGTTCCATCTAAAGGAATTATAAGTTGCCTGATGATCTGAGTTACCGTACAATTTCCTTGGCAAGGAAAATGCTGTCATAAATTTGCAGGTGTGTTGCATTGCCAGTTCACTTTCAAATTCAAACAAAGCAGTATAACATAGATAAATATTTTTATTATCTTTACAAATGAATAAATCAATGGCTTGAATATTTTTACATACATTTTTGCATTTTTGCTCTTTTAGATCTTCAAACCTTTCTGAAAATGCAACCCAAATTCAGATAAATAGGTCAGAGGAACAAAGCATTACTGTTTCCTTCACTCTTTTATGAAGTGTGACAACTTGATGCAAAATCTGTGTTATCTCTTCAGGACATTATTTGTTGAAGTTTGTGATAGTTCTTACCATCCTGATGTTGGAACGGCAAGAGGAAAGAGTATATTAGATTTTCCTTTTTCTACTGCACTTGTCTGCTAATAATGAAAGAAGTCCTACACCTGTTTTATTGTATATTGCTTTTATTTACTTTAACATACCACTGTCCTGAAGGGCTGAAGGAAAGTAAAAACAATCTTACAAAAAGAACTAACCAGCTTAACAAGACAAGATAATAGGCTTTGTTTGTTATATGCTGTCAAGTCATTTCTGACTTATGACAACTCTCTGAATGAATGCCCTCCAAAATGTCCTTCAGCTCTTGTAAATTCAAGGCTCTAGCTTTCTTTACACTGTCAGTCTGTATTTGGTCTTCCTTTCTTTCTGATTCAACTTCTTCCTAGAGAAATAGAACAAAGCAGAAGGCAGGGTTTAATAAACCACCATAATATTGCAGAGCTCTTGCTTCTACAATGTCATTGTGAAAAAAAGAGGAAAATATCACCTGCTTACATGAAAATGAAGACATGCTCTGGTTCTTCTTTCCTGGTGCTTCTTTCTTTAACCATATGACTACCAAGTGTAGTTGGTCTATGCTTCTAGTGATATACTGGTCCCATAATATGCTTTGTTTTAGTAGTTAAATGGAGTATAGAAGTTTTGCCTGCTGATTAGAACTCTGTGTTCAGACATGTTTAGAGGCCACCCTTGTCAGTGACTTTCTTCAAAGCACATCCAAGGCTCCAGTTGATGTGATCTCAGCATAGCTACTTGTTAAACCCAGTTTGCCTGATGAACTTTACTGGTGTGACTTGCTGCATCATTAGAACCCAGGTGGTATGACTTGGTTGAGGGGACAGCAAGCCTTAAACAAACCATGGACTGTTCTTGTTGTCCCCCCCCCACCCCCCAAACTTGCTCTCCCTTCTTTTTAATCAATCCAGGCTGGGTTTGGATGACACAGCAAACTATGCCACTAAAGGTACTAGGAGGATCTAGCTGTCACGTGCAGTTGGAAATATAGGCCACAGTGGATTTCCCTCACTGCAGTTGTATGAACTGGTCCACTATTTCCAACCTCTGAATGTCCAGGTTCGCAAACCAACAGTAGAGTGGAAAGAAATATGAGGAGATTAGGCATTTGTTTCTATTGTTCTGTACCATTTTATTTCTACAAAGCAGTATATAGATTCAGTGGGCATTTTATCATGTTCTTTGTTTAGACATGGGATGCATCCTTGAAAACGTCTTCCTCAATTTTTCCTCCAAATATGTACTTTTGATTCCTGTCCTGCATAAAATTCTTCTGATCCAACCTAATTACCTGGTTTGTGTGGTACTGCCTGCAGATTCCCTGCAGACTTTTTTTAAAGTGGAGATTCAAACTTGATACTGTCTTGTTACTTTTCCAAAGAAGAACCTTGTTAGTTTCAAAAGCTGCAGTACTCATTCGCTGAGAAAATGTTACTTAATAAAATGAAACTTTGTGTTTACACTGTATCACTTATTGCTTGATTCCCAGCATAGCAACAGCAGTCCAAACAATATATTTTCAAATGAAAGTATCCAGGAAAGTATCCTCATATGAATCCTGAGTTGAAATTATATCAATACATCCCTGTGAAAAATCATGTCCACCCTGATCCGCAAACAATTTACAAACTGTGGGTTATTTTGTAGTGAGAAATCTGGATTTTATTACAGTTTACATCTGTTCAATGTATATCAAGATTCATTCATTGGCTATTTTTCTACACAGTCAGCCTGCTTGTATCTCAATTTTATTAGAGTTTTCACAGTGATTATCAAAATCTTAGAAAATGAAGTACTGGGGTTTTAGTTAAATATTAAATATGTTTTAACCTGCCTATGCATAGAATCAAGGGCTTCTGACTATTCAGAAGTTAATTTGATAAATTCTAGTGGGACATAGTCCCCGAATCTTGGTGAATCTTCCACTTGCTCAGAAGGACAAGGTGAGCCTTCCCTTTTCCTTGTGGAGGAGGCCATTCCAGAAGTTGAAGTTAGACCCATCAGCTGTACAGCCACTACCAGCTCTGAGCCTCTGGTTGCATGAAACACTGGTAGAGCTACACCACTATTACTGGTCTAATTTTATTTGGCAATTTAGTCCTGGGGCAGGAAAGAGAAATTGTGTGAAATTACTGGGATGTGGCCTTAGCCATTCTTGTACAGAATTAAACCTTGACTGAACTTATTTTTGTGGGGGTGAGTGGGAAGAGGACACCTTTATCCTTCCTTTAGCTCCTTGTAATTGCAAGTACAAATTAGATAAGAAAGAAAGAGAGATTGAATTGGGATACATTTCTGAAATGATGCTATTTATTTTAGGAATAAATTTGTTTGGAAAGTTAAACCAATTAATTGGTTTGGTCAGTTGTTTTAATTTTTATATCTGGGGCATCTTTTTTTTTTCTTTTTCTGACAGGATGAGTTCTTACAACTTCAACTTGCTCACCAGCCTTGGATTTTGCCAAGTGATACTGAAAGTGAAGGAGTGGAGGCAGATCCAGATAAATGTACGAGAAGACTGCTGATTTGTCAGAAATTGGTGGTACCTTGGAGAATATGCATCTTATTTTCACAAAACCATTTCTTACAGCTCCACTGTGCACACGAGCCTTCCGTCCTTCCATCCATCCGTCCGTCCATCCATCCGTCCTTCACTTCCTCCCTCCCTCCCTCCCTCTCTCTTTCGTGTCAAATAGAGCACTTTGCAATAATTATCATTTACTTAGATGAACAGAAAGTGCCCTGATTTTTACTGGTATGAGCTATACTATGGCGTGCTGAAAGTTCTCTAAATGTGTATCTATTACAGGTTGGGGGACAAGTGGCTGGAGAGCAGCACTTGTGAAAGGGACCTCGGGGTGCTGGTTGACTGCAGGCTAAACATGAGTCAGCAGTGTGATGTGGTGGTCAAGAGGGTGAATGCCACCCTTTGTTGCATAGCCAGAAGTGTGGCTTCTAGATCAAGAGAGGTATTACTTCCATTCTATGCGACTCTGGTGCGCCCGCAACTGGAGTATTGTGCTCAGTTTTGGGCCCCTCATTACAGAAAGGATATAGCCAGGTTGGAGTCAGTGCAGCGTAGGGCCACAAGGTTGGTGGCCGGTTTGCAGGGGATGGGGTATGAGGCGAGGCTGAGGGAACTGGGTCTCTTCAGCCTGGAGAAGAAGAGACTCAGAGGGGATATGTTGGCGACATACAGGTATGTGAGGGGATGTCACACAGAGGTGGGTAGAGATCTGTTCTCCCCTGCAGAGGAAGGCAGGACATGCTCCAACGGAGCAAAGCTCAGGGAGCCAAGGTTCCATTTAGATGCCAGGAAGCACTTCCTTCAAGTTAGAACCCTGAGGGTATGGAATGGGCTTCCCCGGAAGGTGGTTGAGGCCCCATCGGTGAGGGTGTTCAAAGACAGGCTAGACATGCACATGGTGGGCATGTTGTGAGTGGAGCCGGCTGATGCCGGAGGTCAGACTAGATGGCCCGGGAGACCCCTTCTGAGCCCTTCTGACTATGCTTCTATTATATTCTCCATATCCAAAATCTTAACAGAGTAGTCTAGCTTTTCTAACCTGGTACCTTCCAGATGTTTTAGACTACAGTTGATAGGATTATGGCCATGTTGACTTGTGCTGATGGGAGTTGAAGCCCCAAACTTTTTGAGGACACTAGGGTGGATTAAACCTTCTCCTTCCTATTATACTGTACCACATGTAGAGAAAGTTGCACAGTGCCAAAAGCCTCTGTTCAATAATTATAATTAAACTCAAGAAAATGATTTGAAGAAGCCAAGTCTGGTAATATTTTGAAAAAAATGTGACTTCAGTTTTACGTTAGCAAAATAACTTCTACAGCCAAATATTTCTGCATCCCAATTTTAAAATCTTGATAGTAATATTGCAGGATTTTTTTGCTTGAGCATAGAATGTTTTACAATCGGAGGTCAAGGTTGTTGCTGAGGATCAACATCATATAGAGGTTAAGGACCTAAATGAAAAAAGCTAAAACAGGTAGCATATTGTAATTTATAATTATGTACTGAGTCTATAACAAATTATGAGTACTGGTTCAGTAAGCATAAATAATCTTCATAGAAAAGTGAATGGCTCTTGACAATTGGAGTTTTGGATTGTGTGTGTGTTTTCTCTATATCACAGTAGTTAGGGATCTGCCAGGGTTAAAATGTGTGTCATTTCCTAAACTAAAGTTTAGCTTTATGACTCCAGAGAACATGCTGTTTAACCAGGTGCTTAGCAGCAGCTATGGCATGGAATTGAAGCCATTTAAACAAAACATAGCCAAGTAGGACAGGCATATAGAAAACTATAACTTGCTGGCAGAATTTTGACTAATACGGACACACCCTGAAAAAATAATAATTGAATACTTGTTTATACTGATAGGACAAAACCACTATTTGCACTTGAAGGAGGCCTCTTACTTTGGTCCTTTTATTATGTGAGCAGGTAAAATTAACCAAAAGGCATTAGCTCAGTATCACATCTGAGCCTAAAATCCTGGTTTATTGTTCTCAAACAATCCCAACCAATTTGCAAGGAAACAATAAATGTTTATTGCCAGTCTAAGCTGATGATTCCTGATTAATTTTTCCTACTAACATGAAGATAAACAACACTCTGCTTGTTCACAGTACATCGGAATAAGCCAGGAATTATGCTTATTGTTATGTTGAAATATAGTCATTCACCAGTTTGTGCAATCACAGTTGCCCACCATGGCTTGTTTCAACCATGGTGAGCTGCAGCATGTTCCAGGAAGTTTTCGAATAGGTTTACAGCTTGTTGTGTCCTCCAAATTCAGGTAGTAGGGTTGCAGGAGGGTTAAACTACCCCTGCATAATCCTAGAATGGGCCATGTGCTGCAGCCCAATGCAGCTTAAGCCATAGTGGCTTCTTTGATCTTACAAACTAACCCACTGCATTGAAACAAAGAGTCCCCTTCCTCCAAAAGCAGTCTTCTTCTGGTGATAAAAGGTGACCTTTTCCTCTATCTCACTGTTAGAATAATTTCATGTTAGTCTACAATATTCATGTAGTTAAAACAAGCCACAGACTGATCCCAAATAGTTTATTTCACCCCTGTAAATGGTCATTGGGAAAATGAAGGTTGCTGATAGAGGGTCTAGCAGCCAAGTCTCCACATTGCCAGATCCTCATTTGACCAGATATTTTCTATATAATTTCTGAACATACTTGCCTGAAAAGCCACAGACCCACAATTATCATTTGAAACTAAATGTTCAGAACTTTTAGGATGGCCATACTTTTGCTATTCCAAATTAGGTGTCTGTGAAGAATTTTAGGGCTTGGTTTGCTGCTTACTGTCTAAATATCTTTCTTTATCAGTTCTTGCAATAAGTTTGTCTGTGTTGAAATAGCATGCAAGGAAGAGAGAGGGTGTAGTAAGAAGTCCCTGCATTTTAGAGAGGGGTAGCTTTTGTAATACTAACTTTGTTACCAACACCATGTTACAAAATGAGTCGAGCCCACTCACTTGTTATTACAAAAACTGCCTCTGTCATGCATGAAATCTGTTTATTTTAACTTGAACTTATGACACAAAGGCAGAGAAGGATAAAAATTCCTTAATTAAAATAATGACTACATTCTTACTAAAGTCTTAAGGCTGCAGCAGCCTTGCATGTTGGTTTAAACCCATATATCACTTTTCATAGTTAGCTATTTTGTGCTATATAGAGTGGGTTATTCTTTGTACTATTTTAACTATAGGAACAGAACAAAAGCTGTTTGATCTAAGCAATATTGTACTGTATGTGACATTTGAGAATGGTAAATTGGTTAAAGAAATAAGTCTTAAAAAAATAATTATATGGGGTAATAGCAGCCATCTGGTTTTGGAATGCAGTTGCTGTAGCCAAGCACACAAGTGAAGGGCAACTCCTGGAAAATGCAGGCTGCCAACACCCTGGCTGAAATATCTTTAAAGTAGAGAGCCAATAAAAGGACCAGCATAGTTTTTAATGCCAATTCGCAGTGCACACTGCAGGTAAAGAACAATCTGGTCTGATTTAATTTTCTGTTAAATCTAGGCAAAGTGTATAAATGAATCAACAATTTGCATGAGCACCATATATGTAATTTAGAACTGAAAGGAAAGAAAAAGTTAATAATTATGCCTGAAATCATAAGAGCTGTATAATTAAACTTCAGTGTAACAGGTGTTTTCAACTCTTCTTTTAATCAATTATGCACTACTAATATTTACTACATTTTTCACCTATGGCTACAGAGGTATTTTAATTCAGGAACTTTGCATATATTGAGATATGTATTGCCAATGGCCCATATGGAAGTGGGAATGTGAAAAAATGGCCGTCTGATTTGGCAATGCCAGCTCAAGAACTGGAACAGAGACCTTCTCTCATTCGCTGTTGCTTTTTTTGTGTCGTTATTTTCTTTTTGCTGGTTGCCTCCTCTTCTTGGATTAGGGCTGATACTAGTCAAAGAGGGATTATGCTGTGGACTGGCATCTCAATACTATGTAGTAAATCAGATTGACCATGCAGTGATATCATCGACAACAGTTCAAAAATTGATGGCAGTTTAATCAATGAATAAATAATGTAATCAATGAATAAATAACAATAGGGGTTTATTAAAAGTTGCCTACAAATAGTTTTGATTATTCCCACCATCTCTCCTGCCCTGCTATCCTGTGAGTAGACTCCATTCGATTAAATAGCATTCATTAAAGGGAAAAAGCACGGTTGCATACTTTCTAGTGCAGAACATTTTCCTTATCAGAACTGTATAAACATAATTTTGTCAGCATAGGCTATACGTATTTGTTGAAGGTTAAAAGTTTATTTTCAGATTTGGACCCATGAACCTGGTACTGTAATTGCTAAGCCCTCTAAATTAGCGGTGTAATAATTCAGCTTTGACAATCTATGTAATATGAAATTAATGATATGTTTTCCATTAAAAAATTAAACTATAAGCAAATTAAACTTTTTATCTAACTGTGCAGTGAAACCTATGAATGTAAACAAGATTTTCCATTTTAAAGTTGTGACAGAAGGGTTAATAATTCATCCTGATTTCAACACTGCATAACTTTCACAGTAAATGCCAAGATAAACCATACCAAAGATAGAAATGTTTAACTTGTCATTTAGACTTAAAAGATTTTTTTAACATTCAAATAAACATTCACAATAGCATTCCAAGCTTTCAGGAGAGATTTCCATTTCCTGTATTCTCTGAAATGAAATTTACTTCCTTTGTGAATCTCATTTATAAACTTAGCAAAGAAGGAATGTGCAGTGATAAGCCTAAAGCATAATAATTTATTACATCATTCATTTTGATGACTTTACTTAGTCACAATAAAAGTGATTGTGTCAGAAATTAATACAAGTAGAAAGCCAAAGGAAAGAGAAATTGTCAGTTTGCTGGCACCATTCGCATTATCTTTCTTTAGTTTTAACAAACTACTTGGGATGTTTAGGTGAACAGTGAAATAGGTATGGCAAGTGATAGTTTAGCAGTGAGTTATGTCTGTCTCTTTTCCTAACTCGAACCCTAACTCATCCATGTACCCTAAACCTTCTAATGTTTCAGCATAAATGCAAACTCTTTGACCTAGAAAATCCTGATCACACCCGATGTGCATGTACACGTGCTTCCCTTAGTTCAGGCACATATTCATTTGGCCTCATGGACTCTCAGTTCCAGTGTTCTGCATTAAACTGCCTTGGTTTTTGCTTTATCACAAGATAAATTTTCTACTTTTTTTTGCTGTAAATCTCCATCAAGAAATGTGCTGAAACACAATGAAGTAACAATGAGTAGGGGAAAATGAAAATTGCTCATCAAAAGTTCATTTTAGCTACATTCATATATCCATTGAGTAAGTTTAGTTAAAGCAGGGGGTGGACAACTTGTGGCCCTCCAGGCGTTTTGGCACAGACCTCCCATTAGTCTTAGCTAGCATAGTAAGAAATCACAGGAGCTGTAGGAGGAAAAGTCTGGAGAATCACAAGTTGCCCACCTGTCTTAAAGCAATAAAATTGAATTGCCATATGAAGGTTGCATATGCTCATTTTGTCATGTTTCTGTAATGATGCATTATATCTAACTCATCTTTTTATAACTGTTTTCCAGGTTTGTGAATGAATTAAGTGAAATTAATGAAGAGTGGTTTCCCATAAACATATAAGCTGCAGGTGCAAAGTTATTTTCATTCATTATATATAATAAACACTTATTTTTATACATTCAACACAATGAAGGTATAATTACTTTAATGTGTGGATGATAAGTTGCACTGAACCCCACATCTTACTATGGTACAGCAGCCTTAGGTAAAATGGTGAACAGTCACTTTTTAATACATAGTCCAGATACAGTGTATCTTGTTTAATTTACACCTCTCTTATTTTGGATTGACATTTGATATATTAAACTGCCTGGTGACAAGGCAGTTTCCTTAAAGATTTTATGCATTTAACTTGACTAAGGTTTTCTACTCCTTGTATTTTTCTAAATGTTCCTCATTTTTAAATCAATTAACTTTTAACATATTTAGTCACATTTGCCTCTATATCTAACATTCAGACATCAGTGATAATTGGCTATTCATTTAGAATCTCTACAGAGGTTTACTGAGACAAGAGAAAGTAACACATGGGAGAGTTGTGGGTGCACATGTATGCATTTTTGTGTGTGTGCATGCACACATGTGTGTATTTGTGTGTATTCATGAGAGCATATCTAACAGGAATTGGCAGTTTCACTTCACTTTTACTGTGTTCTAATTAAATCTTTTACCCTAAAATAAAAACTAAAAAACCCACATTATTACGTGGACTATAATGTGGAATGCAGCATGTATAAATGAAATATGCTAATTTCAAATATATTATTTCCCCATGTTCTAAATAGCTTGAGCATATGACAATTTATTATATATGTTTATATGTGTTTGAAACAAGTTGACTATTCTGGATTGGGGATAAAATCTGTGCAAAGATTTTCAGTAATGGAACAGTTGAAATGACCACAGTCACACCATTCATTTAACTGTATGATCTTATGTACACTTAACCTGGAAGCATGGCCCATTGAATTGAATGGATCTGAGTAGACATGCATAGGGTTGTGCAGTCGTTCTGTTAAGCATGGTTTTGGTTTAGTGCCTTCTTTTCTCTTCATTTTCTGTATCTCAGCCATAACCACATAATATAATAAAGTTGCCTGCTGCTGTTGCACCAGATAAACATAGACGCATTATCAAAAAATAAATATGTCAATAACAAATATTAAGAATGTGACATTTTTCTTTTGTTGTCATTTGTAACATTTATTTCATTTTACTGAATTTCAAGAACATCAGACAGCAGTTTTAGATATTAATTAGCAGATGCAAATTTTCCTGTGTCTTTTCTCCATGGGGTAGAGTTTGATGCCTTTCCTCTTCTCTGGCAATGCATCAGTGGCTACCCTCACTACTGTGATTCCAGCACAACTGCCTGATTACCCTGAGTGGCAGTTAGTGATAATTTCCTGTTGTTTCTACTTTGTTTGTTTTAGCAGTAGAATAGATGCAATAACAAAAAAATAAATATCTTATCCTGCTATGCTCTTCTGTCATCATCATAAATGAACCTAAGAAGTACATAAGGAAATCATGTGTTAGTATTGCCAAGGAATGCTCCTGGGCCTCACAATGCACATGCCTGCTCTCTTCCAGAGTGCCTGCAGTCATCGTTTTCCTCCTGTTGATGTGTGTGATCCAACACCTAAGCACTCATAATTTTATTTGTAACAAGTGTAGGGGTCTTTGTTCACCTTCCAAAGCCATTCCAGGTGCCTATTCCCTTTGGTGATGTTGCTTTATTGTGTCCAGAGCATGTTATCTGGCTGTAACTCTGCAGCTGGACAAACAGCTATACTAATTTAAATCCCCTTTCCCCTACCCATTTTTGTTGTTGAAATAGCTGAGGGAATTGCCTGGAGCATCTGAATATATCAGTACTTTGGCCATAATTTCCCATTTACGGTTTGGGGTTATTTGGAGGAGATGTGCATAGATATATTTAAGGCATATCATAGCAAAAACAAAATGGAAAAAGCAGAATTAAAAGTTTTCCCTGCATTTATGTATGCAGAGTCATTATTGATTGAAGCAATCGATCTTCCCTGTTTCAAGAAAATGAAGGAACAATCCTTATTCATTTTGGGAAAAATGATTTTGCATGCTTTGGGCCATTTCACACAACTCATTTAGCCCTTTGCTTCAAACTTATTTTTACTTCTTTTCTCATGCCCAGGCTAAAGGAAGGAATGGGTTGTCAAAAGTGTTACATGTATAGGCCTATAATACAAATTGATTGTCAACAAATCAATCAGTATTGTGACTTTAACACAAAAGCAGCCATTTCACTGATTTTAAAAGGGATTTATATCCTACTACCACTTTCCACAGTCTTCAGAAAGGTGGCTAATGACTGACCTGTGAGCCAGGCATGCCGTGCAGTGACAATATTTACCTGATTGTTCTTTGTGTGAATTCACATTAATCCCAAAGAAAGTCTGAAAATTTGACCACATACAAGGTTTTAACAGAATGTGTTTGGAGCACAGGTTGAAGTCAAAGAAGTCAAAATTATATATCCTGGGTTCCTGCACTTCCACATTTTTTACAAAACAAAACAAAACCAAAAAACCCAAAACAACAACCAATATTTTCAGGACTATTGATGAAAGGATCAAGATTAAAGTTCAGTTTTAATTTGTAGGACTTAAATTACTGTGAGTTACATAGGTCCAATTGATTTCTATAGACCTGAAGCATGTTTAAATTAATCTGAATCCAGGCCAATATAAATTGGATTTACTCACAATACTATTATTTGTGTGCATCATTTAGTTGTTATAAAACTAATTTATGTATGTACTTATTTTTGTACTGCTCAATAGCTGAAGCTCTGTGCATGGTTAACAAAGTGTAAACAAGAGCACAGCAGTTAAAACTGAATTGGCACAGGGGTATAGCAGTGGTGCATGATATGGTAAAGTTGGTAAACTAAAGTTTATTTATTTTTGCATTTATATGCCACCCCTACTCCTAATGGAGTCTCTGTGCAGCTTACAATATTACAAGTTTAAAAGTTATTAAAATACTGGAAGAATTAAATAGTTTTCATCTGACACTGAAAAGGATAAAGAGTAAGCATCAAGCACACCTTATTCATAACATAAGGAGATATCACTACCAATTAAAAAAAAAAAAGTTGGTAGCTGGTGCATGGTTTCCATGGTTCAATTGCTATCCCAAAACATGCTTTGTTTGAGGAAAGCACATTCTGTCACCCCAAGTGGTTACTTTGCTGGATTAGTTGAACAAAGGTTTTCGGCTTTTCTTGACCAACTAAATTACATATCTAGTATATATTACATACATACACATACCAGCATAACTCAGGATAACGCTAACACAATTTTAGCCTATTTCTGCTGCCATTTTTGTCATGGATTTGAGCTGCAGCATTTTTCTGCAGTAAGACTAAATGCACAATTGTAAGAACATAAGTAGGTAATTGCTGTTTGACAAGTTCATAAAAAGGTAGTTTATTTCTGCATGTTACTATAAGATATGTCACTCTTTTGAATGCTTTCAACTAATGAAGTTGTTGTGGTAAACCTGATAAGCTCCCGTTTCAAACATTTCTCCATATTATTGAATATGAAGACACTTTATCTTCCAAAGGATTTTAGATTTGATGCCATTAAAACAGTATTAGAAAGATGTATCCAAGGAACGACTGTAGAATGAGCAAGAGCAAATCTTTGATAAACTTATGAATCATTTTCATAGAAATATTCCATAAATGTTGTCTGTTCAGTCTATGAAAAGATATTTCACAGACTGTTTATTCTGGAGAAGTTTAATTGATTTCCATACGTACACACAGTCCTACTTGGAATAAACTCATTGAAATGAATAAGGTCTGGGTTAGATGAATGCTTCCAGGAGGAGGAATAACCAACATTGTGGGCCTGGCAGTACAATTGATACATATGTTAACAAGTACTCTCATGGCTAGTTTTTGTTGACCTATCAAGAAAAGCTGTTTGTAGTTGCTGCAACAAAAGCGACAGAATGTGTAGAAATGGAAACATTCAAGTTTTTTCATAGAATGTCATTCTGGTTAGGGCTATTGGTTGTGCAGTGGATTTGGGAGCAAGTTGGGGTTCTTTTAGGTTAAACTGTAGGGATGGAATATGAAGGGCTTTCCCTCAGTATTCTATACTCTAAAGTCTAATTTTATTCCATGTTCTGCATGCTTATGCTGGATATCGTGTGGAAGATGCTTTTGGGAGCCTAGTTATGCACCTCTGCTATGCAGACCATGTTCAGTTCAGCACAGCCAGTACAGGAACATTGCTGGAAATGTGGTAGGTTTTTAGCAGCTCTGCTGTATGAATGCCTTTACTGAGATTTTTGGTGAATCCTAAGGCTTTTGAAAGATACTTTTGAAAGGCACACATGAAGTGATGTGCAATTTCGAAGACTGTATTATAACCTGCTTTTATGAGAAGCTGAAAAATTAACTGGAGAAGCAAAGCAAGCTGACCTTCCAAAAGCCAATGCATAATTCTGGGAATGACAAAAAGCATAATCATTGATTTATAGCCCAGCAGCCTCCTTCACCATATGAAATTTCTCACTCCTGCTTGGCTTGAAACCCTGTCAGATGCACAGAAAATTCAGCAGCAGTTTCTCTAAGACCAAGGTTGATGCAATGTGGCACACTGATGAATAGTAAGAAGAACTGGTGTTCCTGAGAACATAGCCCTGGGTTTTGAATCCTCATTCTATTCTACCATTTAATGATTAAACAGGGAACTCCATTCTGACCATATGTGTCTGGAGCACACTATTTTTGGTATGATAATGAAAAATATTTGTAGAGTAATATTTATGCAAGATATATTAACATGGATTGTAATGGTCTAGTTTTATTACTTTGATATAGAAACATAGAAACAGAACGAGTCAGAAGGGGCCTACTGGGCCATCTAGTCTGACCTCCGGCTCCGCTCACGACATGCCCACCATGTGCACATCCAGCCTATCCTTGAACACCCGCACTGATGGGGCCTCAACATCCTCTCGTGGAAGCCCATTCCATACCCTTGGGGTCCTAACTGTCAAGAAATG